AATAATTTCCCTACATTATTTATAATTAAATTTACTGCCCAGTAACCACCTCGCATACTTAAAGTGGATTTGGATTTCTTTTCGGCTTGTGTCAGCATTGGTCAGATGTTAGACTACAACGGTAGTCGTTTTGTGGCTTGCCATCTAGCAGACAACTGATATGATGGCTGAAGCCATCGAAAGCTGCTATTGAATTAAAAAACATTGTTGGCATAGTGACATCTTTAATTATTGTTAAAAATGGCCAAAGTAGTCTTTACCACACACACCTAAACAATGTTCGAGGCCAAAGGCACTCAAAGAAACGTTTATCACATCGTATCGTAAGGATGAGATATTCTTGTACATTCTATGGATTTTTCCTACTAGTAGCCTGTTTCCTGTATTTCCCTCACTCGATGGTTCTTGGTTCGTATTCTGCAATACCATCTATATTTCATCGCTTTTGTTATCTATGTTGGCTACATCGTCCGTTTCGAGGTTTTAGATTCCTCATCTCATATTATTTACGAATTTCTGTTCCACATGGTTTCGCTGCACTTGACTAGTTTCATTGCATCATATCATTTGCATTCAAGATTCGCTCAAACGCTAGCAACAAGAAGAGTATTAATAGTTACTTTGATACCGGTAAAGATAGTTCCTTATGAGTGTAATGAAAATCTTCATTCAACCTTTTGCTGAGGTCCACAAGTTCTATCTAATTGTGGAGGGAAACCGGTGGGGGGTTTGTTTACAGATGGGAAGAAGGTAGTGAACGTGTACTTGTAGGTTCCAGTTTGTGTTTTTTCTGTTATGAGCATTTTCTTAAACAGACGTGAATTCAAGTCGTTTTCAGTAACGTAGTTTTTTCAAGGTAAAAGCATTTTTAAAAAAATTTGTGAGCTATCACAAAAAGCGAAATACTGTCAAAAATATAATGAATTTACTTAATATTTTTAGGACGGGTTGATGAGATTGTTCCGAAGATAAATCTCTACAGTAATATTCAGAATTAATACTCTTCGGGTCACAATTTAGAACTGGTCCTGCCAACATATATTTCATGCATATGTGTAAGCTTAGCTAGGTACCCGCGTATCTTGGGCATCATTTCATTTAAATTTTACGAGCAAGATTATATTGTTTTAAACTATTAAATCGTAAATGCACGCTCTTGTCTATTCGTGTTTATGACTATTGTGACTATTTCAAAAGCGAAGAAGCTGTCAAGAATATTGAAAATTATTTCAAATATTTTTAAAGGAGTGTTGTGAATTGTTAGAAATATAACCTAATAATACTTGCCATTAACTTTAATGTTATTCTTCGTTAATCATTGCATGTTTTTTTAAATTGTTTGGTATTCAGTTAATTACATTGGAATTTACCCTTCATACATTTTTAAAACAAAAATCGTTTCGTTGACAAACTTCTCTCTCTCTGGAAAAACTTGTGCCATGTCACAACACAAAGATACGACTTTTTAAAATTAAACTAAATAAAAATTAGCTAGAAAGTAAAGATCAACAAAGACCGATATGCTCTAACATACAATACTAACGCCAATGAATTTTAAAAAAGCAAACCATTGAAAAAATTATGGAAGAATTGTGTAAATAATCGACACGTGCCCAACGATCACTAACCAAAAGCGTATGATTTAAATGTTGGTAGTGTTGGGAAGTATGTGTATAAATGCCAGCGGTAAACTCATATTGTAAATAATACCCCTTTTAATATTAAACTTAACGGTGTCGCTTCGCCAAGATATTCAATCGTAAACACCAATGTGAGCAATCTGGTATGTAAATTAAGTTTAAGCCTACTGATTTGTTGCTAATTGTAACAAGTGTTATGTAACATATGTAAATGTTATTTATAACTAAATGTGATAATATTTATCTTTTTTTCACGGAATTTTTTTTTTCTAGAGGTACCTAAGAAACGCAGAAAATATTCAATACTTTTCAATATACAAAATAATTTTCAATTTTTTGCACCCAGCGCAAAGCTGGCGCCCTGCTTCTCCAAAACCCTCTCTGTTCCTCATACCTCATAACAAATCCAGGAAATGTTTGGATTCAATTACGTCGTTCAATTGTGAGCAAGACATTTAAGAGAATGGTGCAGGTCTCATTTTCGTTGACATCCCTGATTCTTCGAAAATCGGTAAAAAAATTAAAACTTCAAAATTGGAAATAGATACTTCTTTCTCAAAGTCTGTTATACAAAAAAGGTCATGTTCATTTTTTTATAAAAAAACAGTAATTTTTGCCTATTTTGCGATTGAAATTTACAAAAAATCTCAAAAACATCTACAATTTTTTACTTTAAATTTTCTTCATTTATATAATGAGAGAAGATAAAAAATGTGGGGGCAATCGCGTTTTCGGGTCTTGCACCGTTTTTTTAAATAAAAAAATTAAATACTAAATTCAAGTTAGAGCTTTTTGCCTCCGACTTAGTCGATTATACAAAATTAGCTCTTCCAAATAGTCAATGTTAAAGTTTTTGAAAAGACGAGTAGTTTTTTGCGATTGAAATCTGCAAAAACAATTTTCGCAAAACCCGCACTAATTTTTCTTTAAATGTTCTCCACCAATTTGCTAATGAACGGTCAGAAATAAGTATTAGACTAATTTTCAGGTATTGGTCGATTTTTTCAAAAATTTTCAAAAAAAGGAATTCCGGCATAATATTATTACATAACCGTTACTAAGGGGCAAGAGAGTAAATGTAAAACTCAATTTTTTTGATTAAATTTAGGTGTTAAATATTGAAAAGGGCGTTTAAGACAATAGTGCTGGTCTCACCATCGTTCAAATCCCCTATTTTTCGGTAATTGGAAAAAAAATATAACATAAATTGCCGATAGAGATTTTTATCACAGACAATATCTGTTGTAAAAAATAAAAAAGTATTTTGCGATTACATATTACAAAACATCTTAAAGACTGCTCCAATTTTTTTAAAATTTAGTTCACTTATCCAATAAGAGACGGTAAAAACTGTGGTGGTTGTCATATTTTTAAGTATTTGACCTTTTTTAAAATTTCAAAACTGAAACTAGAGATTTTTGCCTCTAAGTCGATTTGTACAAAATTAACTCTTCAAAAAAATTCATGTGAAAGTTTTTGAAAAAAACAGTAGTTTTCTAGTATTTTGCGTTTGATATTTGAAAAAAAATTCTCGAAATCCGCTAAACAGTTTTTTCTTAAAAATTGTGTTACACATGTACTAAGAGACGGTAAAAAATACAGCGCTAGTCTCATTTTCAGGTATTGCTAGTTTATTTTCGAAATTTGCAAAAAAATTTTAAACTGCAAATTCTTTGCTTCAGACAAAATCTGTTATACGAGGGTTGGCTTTTATATTTTTTATATATATTTATACCTTTTATATTTTAGGATTAAAGAACAACAACAAATATTAATCATCGAAAATAACTTTATTGTTTTTCAAAATATTCCCGATGAATATCTATAGACTTTTGTATGCGTTTGAACCTATTGTAGAAGCACTTTTGCCTCTCTGATTGACGTATCTCCAAAACACGCATTCTGAATGCAGCAACCGCTTTTTCAGGTGTCGAAAAACGTTGACCTCTCAGTTTCTTTTCTACGTACGGGAATAAAAAGAAGTCATTCGGTGCCAACTCAGGACTATATGGCGGATGACTCATCAAATCGATGGTTTGGGTGCTCAAAAATGCAGTTGAGCCGATGTGTGAGAGCTTGCATTGTCGTGGTGAAGAGTGATCCGTCATCGGCGGTTGGTTTTCTTGATTTCTTGGAAGAATTTCTTCGTTTGTTTACTTTTATAAGAATTTGTAAAAGTATTCGTTCGACCACTTTTACCTAAACGTAAAACCGTCATTGTAGGGGTCTTTGTGGACACGGTCAAAGCTTCTTGATTTTTTAATTGCTTCAATACACCTCACACTCTCCTGCAAATATACAGAAAATTGAAAAAATGGATATATCACTTTTAACGCTTACGTAATGAATAGGTATAGACAATAACTACACGAATAACAATTATAAGTATGAAAATTATACCTGTCAGTTTAATAAGA